TGGAGGTAAGGGGCAAAAGAGCCTCACTTCCTGAGCTGGAATCTCTTATCCACAGCACTCTGCAGATGGGCTCCGTCTCCCTTCCTTCCCCCCATGGGAACACAGTCCCCAGTCTCTGCAAAGTAATGCTAAGAAAACAAACATTACAAAGCCTGGTAACAGGGGGATGTCTCTCTCAAATGTTTTCTGTGACCATCGAGGTTCAAGGTGGAGGGTCCCCAGCTCCGTGAGCCAGCAGGGTCTCTTTGTAGTAGGCATCAGTTTGTTTGGCCAGATGTCCTCCCAGTGGAGGGCAGAGAGGGAAAGATAAAACAGAATTCTTATTAAAAATAAGTCTCCGGGAGGAGGAAAAACAAGACAGAGAAAGTGTGTGTCGGGGGAAAGGGAGGCTGGGCAGTGCCATCTGATATTGATTAAGTGCTGATCCAGTCGGCAGTGAGAAGCGCACATCGTGAGGAAGTGACCTTGCTCTTTGGAATGTGAACCAGTGACAACTGTCTGGGAGTCGATCCGCATTAATACCACATGCTCGATGTCCAGTGGCAAACACGGCGCCAGCCACATGGCAGGAATGGAGGGGCAGGGCCTGCACTGGAGTCAGGACCAGGGCTTCACCTCACTAGCCCTCACTTTTCTACTCATAATGAACGGAGGCTTGACCAGATGCCTCTCGGCTGCCCGCCAGCCTGCAGATTCTATGTCCTGTCTCCTCACGGAACAAATCCTCTGAAGTCCTTCTCCTGGAATGGAAGAAACCACCCTGGAGAGAGAGGCATCAGGAGGTCATCTGCCTTGACCCTAGCCTTCCCAAAGCAGCGACACTCGCAATCAACTGTCTTTCCACAGGAGCCTGGCCCAGCATCCCTGCGTCTCCTCCCATCTTCCGATGGTTTACCATCTCCATCAAAGCAGAGCTCTTGTTTTGGAATATGGAATGTGGCAAGTTTGTGGGTGTGCCTACAATTCCTACTCTCCCGATTACAAAATTCTTTCCACCCTAACTGAATGTTGTGTGTGTGTGTGTGTTTCAAACAGCCAGATTATGGAGAAGAAACTGGTTGAAGACAGGTGAAGAGGTGGTGGGGAGAGTGTGTGTATGTGTGTAAGTATTGTGTGATTGTGTGTCTGTGGTTGTGAGTGGGGGGAGGCAGTTGTGTGTGTGTGTGTGTTTTCAGTCTGAAGCTAAGCCTTTGAGGTTTTGTTTGTTTCTTTTTCTTTCTCTCTTTTTCTTTTTTTGACAAATGTCATGAGGACAGCAGTATTTTAGGACAGGGTGAGGTTGGATTCCAGTGGGAATGGAAGAGGAAGTTTCCGTTCAGATGAACTGAGCTCACACTAGCATGCTGGCAGTGAAAACAAACAGGGAGAGCTGGCTGGGGCGAGTGGAGCAAGCCTGGCGTTTGGAGTCACAAAGACTCAGGTTGGACTCCTGTTCATGATCCACATGGGCTCTCAGTCCAGCGCTTGTAGTCACGCCTCCCTCTGGGTCATTACAGGGATTATAGATATTATGTGAAAAGTACCTAGCTCAGAACTTGGCGTGACGTGGACAGAAAATAAAACCAAGGAACTGGAGATGATGCTATGATCCTGATAGAAATTTAAAAAAAAAACCAAAAAATATACCAAATGAAGATTAACAGGGCCTGGTAACTGATGGCCTTGGAGAATATCAGGGTGTCTTTCAGGTTAACAGCCTGGGGCATGGAGGATAATAGAAGTTTGGGGTTGGATGGAATTAACCCTTTTCTAACCAAATTATTTTCTGCTGTGAATTTTGTTGTGGATAGCATGTCTTTTCAACAATGAAAGACATGGAAATCAAGGGAATATCTTTGGAGGTCCTATGGGTTTTAAATATGTAGGACACATATTTGCATTAAAACCCATATGTCCCTGGGAACTGACTACAAGGAACTATATGTGACTTCCTCCCTGGGGGGTGGACAACCGAAAAGTGGGTGAAGGGAGACTTCGGACAGGGCAAGATATGACAAAATAACAATTTATAAATTATCAAGGGCTCATGAGGGAGGGGGGAGAGGGAGGGAGGGGAAAAATGAGGACCTAATGCTGGGGACTTAAGTGGAGAGGAAATGTTTTGAGAATGATGAGGGCAATGAATGTACAAATGCGCTTTACACAATTGATGCATGTATGGAATGTGATAAGAGTTGTATGAGCCCCTAATAAAATGATTTAAAAACAAACAAACCCATATGTCCCAAATGCACTCTGGTTGGAGGATTAGTCAGGTGAGGCCTGCTTTTTCAGATTCATCATGTTATGCAGGTCTCTGCCTGGTGATAGCATGTCCTACAACTCAGTAAGCAGCTGCAAACGAAGCTGAACATGTGGGTGGGTGATCTATATCTTATGGGCCACAAAAGGGTTAAGAAAAGCAGGAGGAAACTAGAGATGTGATTTGGCAGGATTCAAACTGAGGTTGTTTTGGACATATGGCATGGAACTTAAACACACAGGTGACCATATAAAGCAGTAGAGCAGAATGTAGAGAGAACAAGAGAAATAGAAGTATCGTGAAGCAAAGAAGCTGATTCACTCTATGTCTGTCTGACTCATGAGTCTGATGACTTTAGAGCTTCACCCTCCAAGAATTGGCTGACCAAAGGCTAGTCCAACATGACCATCATCTGGACTAAAGTCTTGCTCTACTCAAAATGAGGTCTTTGGACCAGGCAAGCATCACTTTCACTTGGACCTTTGTAGAAATGTAGAATCTTAGATCCTACCTCTTACCTTCCAAATCAGAATTTACCTCTATCCGGAAGCACTTTCAAGTTTGAGAAGTGCTGTTCTGAAGTGTAGTACCCAAACTAGCTGCATCCATATCACCTGGACGTGTGTGAATAAGTCCATGTTCTCCCCAATTCCACCTTACAAACCCAGCTAGACCAGAGCATGTACATGAGTACAGGTAAGAGCTCACAACACAGGGAATCCAGGACAGATAAACCCCTCAGGACCAGTAATGAGAGTAGCAATACCATGAGGGCAGGGGGAAGGTGGAGGGAGAAAGGAGGAACTGATCACAATGATCGACATATTATACCCCCACCCCACCACCGCAGGGGAACGAACAGCAGAAAAGTGGGTGAAGGGAGACAGCATCGGTGGGAGATATGAAAATAATCATTTATAAATTATTAAGGGTTCATGGGGTAGGGATTGAAAAAAAATTGAGCTGATACCAAGGGCTCAAGTAGAAAGAAAATGTTTTCCAAAGGATGATGGCAACATATGTACAAATACATGCTTGATACATAGATGTATAGATTGTTATAAGAGTTGCAAGAGCCCCCAATAAAATGATTTTTAAAAATTTAAAAGGACCACATACTAGTCAGTGCTCTACTGAAAAATGTAGAGCCTGGCCCTTCACAAGAAGCAGTTGGAGAAGTTCTGGTTCACACCAGCAGTCTCCACTTCCCATCCATTAAGTGCTGTCTCTGTCATACAAAAAATAACGTGGATGGCTTTGTAAAGTGAAAATTAAAATAAAAAATCCATATTCTCAGTCTTCCTCCTTAACCTTCTGAATTAGAAGTATTATGCTTCAGCCATCACTTCATGCGACTCTTATGCACCCTCAAGTGTAAGAACCCTGCTGTAAATCATGAGACTAGATAAGACGCACCCCATGCCCGTAGCCCAGAAGACAAGAGTTTAGCTGAACTCGAAAGTCTGATCTCTTTTTGGAAATGTTGAAGGCAAAATATGTACACGTGTGCTTAATATTATTGAATGATGGATTGTTAAAAAATTTTTAAGACAACTCCCCCCCAATAAAATGATTGATTAAAAAAAAAAGTTGAATCTCTGAAAGTTACATGCTGTTTCTCTTCTCATTTGGTATCAAATACCATTGAAAAGCTCTTTTCACTGAAGGGGGGCTCTATTCATGCAATTACAAACCGAAGGAACGAAGCTTCAGCTGTAGCTTAATCTCCATGCTTTCCCCTTTAAGTGTTCTTGAGCACGATTACCCGAGATCAGGCCTTTCCGTGCTGTCCTCCAGGAGGGCCTTGTTCGTGAGACATACAGACCAGGAAACACGGAATCTTCTGATATTTCTTACAACGTGATTTTGACAAAATGTCCGCAGACTTCTGTCTTCTGTGTTTCTAATCAAGCAATAAAAACGGAAAGGTACTTTTTACAGGCTCATTTCTGGAGTCATGTGCAGAAGTGATGGTGTTTTACCACTTAGGCTAGAATGTTGCAAAAAGTTAAACTGTGAGTAGTCTACATGTATCTCCTCTCATCCAAAACGACCAGCTTTACAATTTGTGCCATAGTTGTTATAGAAACCACTGTGATAAGTTAAAGAAGGATCAGTGTCTATTCTCTGTAACACACAAGCACACTTATAGATTGGGTGTTTAAGTCACTAAAATGACCTGTGTTTTCTGCTATAGAGCCTAGGGCTCAACAGTTAATGGCATGCCACTTCTCCAGGGGCCCTTTGGAGCAAATTTCAAGCTACTAACTCATAAGCAACTAGCTATCACAATTCCTAAAAATTTAGCAATTGGCTCTTACAAGCCAATCAAAACTAGCTCCAGAACATCCCTGAAACAAACATCAAGGGACACGTCACAGTTTTGTTTCTGTTGTGTTTAAATTGCTTTAGCTCTAATATCTAAAGCAAGCATATTTTGGTATTCCAAATGTTTTGTCAGATGGAGATTCTTATTTAAATTATTGTAGTGGATTCTGTTTGAAAATCTGTTCCATGAAACAAGGTTCTGTGCTACTTTCAAGTCATGTGAGATCCAGTTATAACAACCTAACAGTTCTTATAGCTGAAGTTCATGTGTTATTACATTGATCAAAAATGTTTACTTTAAAATACAACTCATAGTATATATGGTAAGGCATATATAAAAATTATTCTTAATCATGGCATTTGAGACAGAATTCAAAGTGATGATTATTGAAATGATTTGTTAATGACTAAAATTTGACTTCTCTTACAGGTATTCAGGAAGGAACACAATGTACAAAATGTAAAAATAACTGGGCACTGAAGTTTTCCATCATATTATTATACATCTTGTGTGCCTTGCTAACAATCACAGTAGCCATTTTGGGATACAAAGGTAAGCACATTTTCCCTTTTCCTTCCAAATACCACGTTTCCTTTCACTACTACAAGCATTTAAAAAAAATCATCTTTGTGAAGTATCTCAGTTACATAACTCACCTACAAAGCTTAGCAACATCATGAAATCCATTTGTGTATCTTGAGCTTCCTGGAGCTATGGGAAATAGTCCTTCTGACTCTTCAACAAGGATAATGGCGTTCCCGAGTGACACAGATGGCTGAGCGCTGGATTAGAACCCAAATAGCGACAGTCTCTGCTACCGTGAGCACTCCCGTAGATCAGGCAACAAGTGGCCACTGCCTCTGCAGTCCAACTGCACATGCTCCTGCCCGCTGCTGCACACCTCTCTCCTTTCTCTTCTCTGCTCTCCCCTGCCCCTCTTCAATTTTTCCCCCCACATTGCTCAGACACTCTAGCCCCATGTACTTCCCTACCCACTGGGTGGACACCACCACTTGGGCCACACTATTTAATCAATAGGTAATACCCACTACCACACCCACCAAGGGACAGGTGGTGAGCCCATCAGTGCTGCCAAAGGAACATGTCCACCCACCTGCCTGAATGTACCCAAACCAGCCAACAGGGCAAGACAAACTGGCATGTTATCATCAAATCAAGACAGTGTCACCACAGTGTCTCAGAAACTACAGACAGCTTCCGTTCACACAAAGGAAGAGGACAGCGTGGCTCAAGCAAATGGCTGAAATACAGAACTGGGAAAACCTTTCTGAGGACAGGTGATAAAACTACCTAAATTCAATAGTAAGGGATCAAGGAAAACGCAAACAAAATCCAGGACACAGAGCAGAGACAAATCTCTAGAAGAATTCAGGAAAACAATGTAAGAGCATTGTTTAATAATGTAATAAGTAGAGCATTATAAACCAGATTAAAACAGCTAATGGAATCCAGAAGATCTATACTAACATTTCAGAAATAACACATTGAAAGAACTAAGAAGTTCATTGAATCAGTAGAAGACAGTATCACCTAATTAAATACAAGTCCCTTAGCACTACTATGTTTGAGAAACAATCAGAAAAGGAAATGATTAAAAAAAAAAAAAAGAAGGCCTGAAATAAGTGGATACCATCTAGACCAATCACTTACATGTAACAGAAACTTCCAAACAGGAATAAACCCACCTAAAAAAGCACAGAGAAAGTTGTTGAAGATTTGTTGGCAAAAACTTCCCTGATATCATGAAAGATGAAAAGATGTCTAAGTAAGAAACTCAATGAACTCTAAATAGAATAGAGGCCAAAAGGAAATCACTAAAACATCATAATCAAGCTTTCCAAAGACAAAGGAAGAATTCTGAGCACAGCTCGTGAAAAACAAAATGTTACTTACAAAGGAAAACCAATAAAACTAAGCTCTGGTTTCTTGGCAGAAATCATGCAGGCAAGAAGGCAATGAGATGACATATATAAACCCTGAAAGGAAAAAATTGCCAGTCAAGAAAATTGTCCCTCAAATATGAGGCCAAAAGTAACTCATTGCCAAGGAAACAGAAATTAAAATAATTTATATAAAAACAGTCCAACCACACAAGAAACACGAAGCTCTTCAAAGAGAACCGTCAACAACCTGAGATTAAGACACATGACATTACCCAGGCACCAATACAGATAAAGAATTTTCAAGAACAAGATAAACCTTTGTAAGACTGAAAATGGAGAACCAGAGATAACAATCAATAAACAACTAAAAAGCAAAATGGGGATAAATGGTGTAGATTCCAAAAACCCAAAACAAACACTGCCCCTTCAGGTCGCCAAGGCCGTAAACCTTTCTAGGAGGAAACGCCTCATGGTTTGCCACAGAGAAACAAGTGAGTTCGAACTGCTGACCCTTCAGTTAGCAGCTAACTCACTACATCACCAGGTTCCTGGTGTAGGTTCAGAACTTCCAAATGGCAAGGAAGTCAAGATGTCAAGATAGAACCAACTATTTTAAACTTAGGAAGATAATAATAGATTACAGGGTAACCACAAGAAAGTAAATAATCCTAAACAAAGTGGAAAATAAGAAAATAACACTGGGTACATAAAAGTAGCAGAAATGAAGGAAATTTGTTGCCAGGGATGAGAGGGTAAAACAGGGACGGTCACTAACTAGAGAAGAGATACCTATTAACTTGAGAGAAGGGAAAAGTAACGCACATCAAGGAGAAGGTCAACACAGCATGACCAAGGCAAAGGAAGATCCTTGGAGTTGATATGAGTAAAAGACAGCAAAGGTTGTATGGCATGCACTATCCTGCAGTAACCGTAATAACAAACAATAATAATAGTAATAATGCAAACTGAAAAGATGTGTAAAATTCAGTGGAAGTACACAAGTATACACAGGTACGCCAGGGGATATTTCTACATATGTGTTTGTATGTAGTACAGATATGTCTTTGGATATAGTACAGTCAACAGGGACAAAATTCTTAGAACTTTTTAGCCATAAGGAAATACCTTGAAAGAATGAGCCACTAGCCTCTGGGGCTTAGGACTACAGTCTCGTGGGACACCTAGGTTAATTAGCATAACATGATCCACAAAGACAGTGCACCTCATCCTGCGTTCATGAGTAGTGACTGGGGGGTTGTAAGGTTGCAAGAGCCACTCAACTGTTGGTCTCTTTCCATTTGAAGCAAAGAAGAGTGAGGAAAATCAAAGACTCAAGGAAACAATGGATCCAAAAGACTAAGGGACCACAACCTCCACTACCCTGAGACCAGAACTTGATGGTGCCTGGTTCCCATGACCAACTGCTCTCAACAGGATCACAACTGAAGGTCCTGGACAGAGAGGGAGGGAAAAATGGAGAACAAACTCAAAAGAAGACCAGACCTACTGGTCTGATAGAGACGGGTGGAACCCCCAAGATTATGGGCCTTGGACACCCTTCATGCCAGGAATTTAACCCATCCCCAGGGTTTAGCTTTCAGCAAACAATAGGTCTGTAAAATGAACAATGACACCAATAAGAAATGCACTTCTCAGAAAAATCAACCACCGGATACCTTATGGGCAGCAGTTGGCCAAAAACTAAGTTCAGAAGGCAGTAAGGGGCAGGAAAGAGTGGCAGATAGGAAGGGAGAACAGGGAGGAAGTGGGAAAAGTGCTGTTACCCAGAATTAAATAATGTCACGAAACAAAAAATAAATTTCTAAATGAAAAACTAGTTAGCTCTGAAAGCTAGTACCCAACCTACAATAGAAAGGACAGGGAAAAAAAACTTGCTTGTTCACATCCACCCAAAGGCACCTTGGATGTAATGTCTGAATCCGTTCTTCAATTTCAACTTCCACTTCACAACTGGTCACCATGAGTTGGAATCAACTCATCAGCAACCAGAACAAGTGATTTATCAGAGAATCTCTGGGTGGCCCAATTCATGTGTTTGGCTAAAGACCTAGTAATATGATTCCGAAAAATCAGCCTTGAAAACAGTATGGAGCCCTGTTCTAGTCTGACACACCTGAGGCCACCAGGAGTCAGAATCGATCACAACTGGTTTGGGGTTTTTTTGTTGTTGTTGGTTTCATTTTCTACTTCTGAGTTATAAAGATTTTTCCTTTATTGTTTCTTCCTACCTCTTTCCAACTACTCTCTCTTCCTCCTTTTTCATCTTATCTCTGAAAGTGGCCTTATGGAAACTCCGGAATGAGCACACAGGAAAGCCATGTTAACAGAGAGACCATGTCCTTCACGCAGGACAGGCCAGTTCCCTCTTTTCTGCGGCACATTGACTGTGGGCACTGTGCATGGAGCGCCATAAACAGAATTGCCTTGTAGAAATCAAACACAAAGGCAACACAGCCGTCGTAATCCGTACTGTGCAAGACATTTGGCCGTCTGTCATCTTGTCTGGTTTAAGGTAAATGGAAGGTTTTTGCCTGAATCTCTCATCTCACACATTTAGACAGAGTCATTTCCCCTACACCACCCCCACCCGCCACCCCCCATTCCCTGCAGAGAGCACAGGTAGAAAGTGTCATGATTCAGAATCATAGACTGCAGAACTTCTTTTATAGGAAATAGCCATGAAAACCTTCCTGTAAGAGATTTGTGAGACAGATGGTCGGTCTGCTTTTGCACAGGGCCAGACTGGGTGTCTGCTGATCCTCAGAGCCTTCACTCAGCACCCACCTCAGCCGCCTCCCTTCAGAACTGACAGATGAACAGTGGAAATTCCCGTGTGGTCCCTTCTCAGTTCCTTGGCCCACAAATTTGATTTTAAGAAGAGAAAGATTTGCAGTGAACGCTAATTTCTACTTCCTCCCACACTTCTCCCTGCATACATGTAACCAGGATTTAGTGGTTTCCTGAGGATGGGCATGGGAGCCGGTCAGTCCAAGTTTAATTCTTCCATTTGTATTAGAAATTATGAATATTTATAAAGTGCTTGCTAGTGGGCTGGGCATCATACTAAGTCCTCAACCTGGCTGTAGAACCTGAGTATCAGTCTCTTTGGCTTTACAATTTCCTGTCTGTCAAATGAAGTAATGCCATTTTTTCCCAGGTGGTTAGAATGAGAAGGAAAGCTGCAGTAGAGCCATCACTCTGGTAGTTCGCCACTGAAAGAGTGGCTCTATTTCTGTGTCCCTTTCTTCACACTTAGATTTATACAGTGGTAGCTATCAAGTAGCAGGACATGTTAAAAAACACTCAACATAGTCAAGGCTTTCTGTATCATTCCCCTTCTAATGCCATCAAGGTGGAAAATAATAAGCACCATGATGTTTGTTAACTGTTACACCTGGGCCGTGGAAACCTGGAAAAGTACCAGGTCATCTTGTCCACTTGTGGTGAGTTAGTCTAACCTAGGGTCTCTTGTGTTTTCAGATGAGGCAACAAAAGAAGCAGCATTGATTCAATGAGGTTATTAGGTCATGACCAGCCCTGGGCAGTGAAGGGGTGGGGGCCTCGAGAAGACAAGGAGGCTATTCTGTGGTCCAGTTAATTCCGACTGGCTCGGTTTTTCTTAACTGG